TATTAATTATCGTAGAGTTCTCTTTCTCATTTCTGCAAATAATATTATGGTAGCTGTTCAAAGGAACTATCATTACTAGTTCCATCAACTAAAACTTATTTTCTCTTGACTTGTCATTCAGCAAAGTCTCATTCTTTTACTGTATGTCCCTGCATGCTCTAAAAACTTTTATTCGTCTAGTTTCTTTCCCCGCACCTCAACCCTTTAAAATTCTCTCCGATCTTCATGTTTTCCTGACTCAGACAACCATCAACGTTTCAAGTCTTCTGTCAACCATTTTCTTGTTTTATTACTCTATTCTTTTTTTCTAGTAATTCATAACTTAATACTAGTTGCCTGCAGCCTTGTTGGAAGTGAATCAGAATTAAAAATATATATATATATATTTATTTTTAATTCTGATTCACAATATATAATTAATATATTTAATACTATATATACTTTATACTATTTTATACTATAGTATACGTAGTATATACTTTGTTTAACATAAAATTAAGTAGTTCTATACACATTTACATATTAAAAAACATTTGATTTTCTTGAAATCTTAATAAAATGGTCTTTTTCAAAAAGTCCGACATACTAAGAACTTAATTTCTCGGTCAAACAATAAATGTAATAGCAATTGCACACCATTTGTAAATTCAAAAATCACATTTGAAGCAACATTGATCGGTCAATAGTTGAATTTAAATCAAAATGGTGTAAACATATTTTACAACAAAATCAAAATTTTATTGAAAAAGTTCCAACTTTTACCTCATCAGATCTGAAATAATGACGAAACGATGAAATGATGACGAAACGATGAAATGATGACGAAACGATGCGATGATGACGAAACGATGAAATTATGACGAAAGGAGGATTAAAATAGTTCAGGTACCCAAATACATAGTTGCTAAAACTGTTAAAAGATAAATATCTGTTATCACCAGTGCTGAAATTAGAACGCTGATAAAATATTCAAGCTGTGGTTCCCCCTTTTTTTGTCTTTTGCTCATTAACCAAAGGAGAATTCATTAATTCTTTTCATTCGTTCGTTCATTCATTCGTTCTTTTAGTTTTAGCTAATAATGAGCAGCATTTGACAATCAATTTTATGGATGCAGCAAATAAAAATGTAGTTTATTTACTAGTATTTATGGAGTAACTTTATCGCCACATACAACCGCCACATGCAACCGCCACATACATCTACAATTTCAACCTCTAGACATTGATGTTTATGGATCTTTTTAAACGCTTATATAACCGTGAAGTAGATTTTTAGCTCGTGGACAATCTAAGAAAAACAGTTTCAGTTTTTAAGTTGGTGGAATTTTAGGATAAGCTTAGTTAAAGTCATCAATGTTAAATAACATTTGATTAGTTTTGTATCAATTGGCTTGTGTCCATTTCAACCCAGTTTATGAAAAGATGAAAACTTTAACTTTTAATTGATTAGTAAAAACACCATCTTTTAGAGATAAATTGAATATTATTGAAAGAGTCAATTCAATAATATCTAATACTGCTTATAGAACACTTGCATTAATATCATCGAGGCTTGGACTCTTGTTGATTTTTAACGTTTTTAAGGCTGTTCGAAGTTCATCCAAGGATATTAAAGAGTTGAAAAGAAATAAACTTTAGAATAAATACTATGATTTGATAATTACTTTTATATTTCAGTAAGATAACTTTATTATGATTAACAATTTCTTTAATCACACCAAGTACATAAAGTGAAACGAACAAATTACAAGAGATCGCATGAGAGTAGAAAAACAAAAACACAAGAGAGTAAGAGAATTCAGTGCAAGCTGCTATTGCTTAAATACTGGAATTGTGCTGGCATGCGCATGCGCTAAGAATCTAAAGTGGCTGATTATTACTAAACAGGCATTAGTTTTAGCAAACTAATGCAACATTTTAGACTCTTTTATAAATAAGAGTGTTTTTTTTTTGGAAAATAAAAACGTTTTATTTCTCGCAATTATAATTAATACATGAAACCAATTGAATCGCTAACTTGAAAAAGGGGACATGTTCTGCAAAAATTCACATAATATGTCCCCTTTTTTAAGTTAGCGATTCAATTGTGATCTCATGATCTTAACTAATTATGAGTTTTCAATCGGTTTCAAAGTTTTAAGTACATTACACTAAATTTGTAATTTGATTTTTCAAAACATTATTTTTTCATAATTTTTATCCGGATATTTGATAGCAAAAAAAAGATGACGACTGCTTGATTACGTTAAAATTTTTCTTCAAAATTTTTTGATCAAAACAAATAGAGGAAAAAAATAAATAAATAAATAAAAAGTGCAAAATAAATACTTAGGTAAGAGTAAGAAACTGCATTAAACACAATGAATGTACGTTTTAATACTTTTAAAGTGTTTCAGATATCAAATATTTGTTTGATCATATTAATAAACAATGTATTGTTTGTATTTACTGTATTAATTGTACTAATTTTTTTTCAGTTTAATTACAATAGTTTACTTATTGTTTGTTTCGCATCCATGCACAGTGGGCCAGGCTGTGACAAAAGTCAAAAAAGTGATGTTCTTTTATAAAAATTTTTTAGGTACGTGTATAGTATATATTATGACCTTTCTGAAATGGATATAAATTTTTTTATAACTCAAAAACTGTTTCTGCTATTACAAATTAAAGAGGGTTCTTTTTTAGATATTCAAAACAACTAAAAATTCAATAAAAAATATGTTCAATTTTATTTTTTCACATATTTATTCGTTGCGCTTTTTTTAGTAAATTTTAAAATATATTTATAGCTTATCATTTTCTTGCAATAATAGAAAAATATAAATGTAAATCCCCTTTTTTTTCTGTTTTTTTACAATTATCATAGAGGTATATATGTAACCTAATACTTTTTGGAACACAAGTGAACACATTTATAAGTATATACAATGAATGATTTACTATGAGGTAAAATTAGTTTTGGCTACTGCTTGCAACTTTGAGCACTTTCAAGTTCTAAAGCTAAAAACATTTTGTAGAACCCCCTCACTTTGTAGAACCCCCTCACTTTGAGGGGTTTTAATATATGATATCAATGTAACTTAAAAATACCGAAAAAATTTATCGATAAGTTCTGTTTATTTTGATGAAATGAGAATGATAAAAAATATGTTACTCTTAAATTTGAAAACTGACTACCTGTAACTGCACTCTTTCTCGTATGGAATAACTAACATTACGGTTGTCACTTAAATTATGGTTACTTTTGTTTTTAAATCATTACTCATTTTCATTCGTGTTATACTGTTTACTTTGTTTTAACTGTATAATAAAATATTTTGAGATATACAAATATATTAGGAATAATCAGTTCTCAATGTATGAAGAGTCTTCCATTAGATTAACCAACGCAATATACAAGTTTGATGGTTCAAGGGATTTATGAACAGAAATGATCAGAAAGCAGCTCTTGTAATTTATCAAATGTAAATTCTTTATTTTTGACTTATGTTGTTCCTTCAGAGCTATTTAAAAGTATAGATGAAAAAACAGTTATTTTATGGAAAAACTTAAAGCCACCGTCAGCTATTTATTGTAGAACTCTATGTTTTGAGTTTAAAAAAGAAACTAAATCTGTATTGATTGATAAAGATTTAAACCCATCCATTGTTGTTTTCGAAGGGCAAAAAATATCTATTACAAACCATATTGAAACCAATATGATTTATGAAAAGGTGCACACTGTCATATTTAACGCAACTGACTCTAGTCATTCATTATTTAGTGTATGAAGCCTATCAGCAATCAATAAAATTGAAATTGTTATTAAAAAAAGCAATCCACTCATATTCTCTCAAGCTTGCATTATAAAAATTAAATCTTGGCTAGTAAGAACTTCTGGAGTTCAGTAATGGAGTAAAAAAGTTTAATTCAGAAAAGGTTCTTGGATAAAGGTTCTTAGATTGATAGTAGATCAACCAAGAGCAGATTGTAGTGAGAACGCTAAAGATGGTAATACAGCGGGCTTTTTTAAATAAAGACGTATTTAGTGAAATTACAGGAATTGATAAAGTGCTAATTGAAAGATTAAATGTTATACTTTATTGTATTTCCAGTGGTTTTGAATCACACCTTTCGGGATTATAGTTTTGAAACAGATATTTTGTTAAATGTTACTCCTGGTACTACATACCTCATAAAGTAATAATGTATGGATACCTTATAGTGGAAAAAATGATATTGCCTATTGGTCTTAAATCAGAGAAAATTCAAGATAATAATAACAATTTTAAGAGTTATCATCAAGACTATGCAAGAAAAATGTAATGTAATGCAAGGAAAATGAAAGTCAATCAAAATCAACAAAAATGTAATAAAACAACTGTTCTGCACTTCTAATCGATTGGTGTCCAGTTTAAGAAAAACAGCAATAAAAAAGAAAAAAAAAAAATCCCTTTTCTTTTCATTTTTATCGAGTTTTAACGTTGTTTTTTTATATTGTATATGTTTTCTTTTATGTTGTCCTGATATATAAATAAGTTAAGAGTTCTATTTGTTTTGTGTTTATTCTAAATTTTGTATAATTTTATTGTTGTATAAATTTTAGTTAAATATGTTGCAATGGTTACTTTGTTTTGCCTGGCAAAATTAAGTAACTATTGAGACCTCATATAAACACACATGCCAAACACAGTGTACGTAGCACCAAAGAAAAATCTCTAATTACCAGAAACAGGCTGTTGCTATGCAAAATTAGGTATCCATAGCAACTAAATATAAATATTAACACTTTCATAAGAAGCGCAGAGCTCATTTTGGTACTTTTGCTAAATTTTTTAATTACAGTACTAATATTAAATTAGTTATTAATTTTGTCTCAAAATTAACTATTATGGCCCCACTGTGTCATGTCAAAAACAAAGAGTTAGCAGACACAATGTTTAAATGTTTGCGCAACGCTGTGTGTTGCTATTATGTGAACAGGAAACATTTTTAACAACTGCACATGTTTTTATAATGCACAGCATGTCAAAGAGTAAAAAAATGTTACATCATAAAATAAAGCACAACTAATTTTTTAACAAACCACGATGAAGCTATTTTTTATAAAGTTTTGTCTTTATACATTATGTAACCATTTGAGCTATGGCTTTGAATTCAAGAACTGCTTAGAAGAACAAAAAAGTTCAAGTTCCTTATTTTTTACTTTCAAGTATTTGGATTCAAACAATACACTTATAGACTTCAAAAAATATGAAGGAAATGTTTCTTTAGTTGTCAATGTAGCAACCTTCTGAGGTCTAACGACGTCCAACTTTCTTGAATTAAATGCACTTGTGAAAAAATACTCAAGGAAAAATGGTTGTTCACTTAATGTTATTGCTTTTCCTTCGAATCAAGTAACTTTTTTTTTAAAGCATTTTTACAATAAAAAAAACGCATGATGATCTTAATTATCATTAGTTTTTATGATTAAAAACTAAATTTATCATAATAATAATACGTTAATTCTTTTTATGGATAACAGTCAATACTAACACTTATTATGTTATTTTTTTAATCTACTAAAAGTTTTCTATATTCAATATTGACGTTTTGGAAACTATCTAGATTCATTTTCTTCGAATAGCTAGAATCTGTTTTGTTTAATAAATCTCCAATCGAAATAAAAGCGTACGTACTTTATGTCGAACATGTGTACGTAGGTGCGTATAGCGTACTTATGACAACCCCTAGTTTTTTTATAAAAAAACTGTAGCTTCCATAAGTAAGAGACTTTTTTTGAAAAAATACTCAAGGAAAAATGGTTGTTCACTTAATGTTATTGCTTTTCCTTCGAATCAAGTAACTTTTTTTTTAAAGCATTTTTACAATAAAAAAAACGCATGATGATCTTAATTATCATTAGTTTTTATGATTAAAAACTAAATTTATCATAATAATAATACGTTAATTCTTTTTATGGATAACAGTCAATACTAACACTTATTATGTTATTTTTTTAATCTACTAAAAGTTTTCTATATTCAATATTGACGTTTTGGAAACTATCTAGATTCATTTTCTTCGAATAGCTAGAATCTGTTTTGTTTAATAAATCTCCAATCGAAATAAAAGCGTACGTACTTTATGTCGAACATGTGTACGTAGGTGCGTATAGCGTACTTATGACAACCCCTAGTTTTTTTATAAAAAAACTGTAGCTTCCATAAGTAAGAGACTTTTTGCAGCTGAAGTTTTAATATAAGTTGCTCATTTTAAATATCACTCTCGTGAAGAACTTGAGACTGAATGCTTTTAAAAATTTCGAAAATAATGTCTATTATAATAAATTATGATAACCAAAAACATACTACTAGCTAGTAAAAATAAATTTTAGTAATACCAGTTAGTAAAATAATATTTATATTTTTAAAATTGTAGCAAATGAATTTTTCTTAAAACATTTTATATTGTAAAACAAAAGAATAAGTAACGTATAAAAATATGTGTAATTGTTTGACTGTCTAGTTTAACCACCAATCTCCAGGCTCCAGTGATGAATTCATAAGAACTCTACGTTATGTACGACCTGGAAACGAATATGTTCCTGATATGGACTTATTTCAAAGAGTGAATGTAAATGGAATAAATCAAACCAGCTTGTTTTCTTGGTTAAAGGTAATAATAATTGAAATGTGCATGTGTATGTTAATCTAATTTATAAACATCAGTAAATGCAATTTCTCTCAATACTATACTTTCATTATCTTTAATTAATTTCCGCTAGATTTTTGATACTAGTATTTTTGCAACTAAACGGTAACCTCACTTTTTATTTCCTTGTCTACAATCCACGTCATAGGATTTTTTTCGGCATCGGCCATAACTTACGTCATGAAATATTTGACCGTTTTTGACCCCTTCCACCACAACATTGTAACTCTTTAGTAACATGTCACAAAACCACTAAATCGAGTACGAGTTGTTACAAAACAACTATTCTCTACCCCCTCCTCCCTAAAGCAGGACGCGATTTATGGGGAAACCCCTTTTTTAAATACGTAAGTATAGAAAATATGGCTTCCAGAATTGCGTTTTTACATACTGATTATTTGTAAATGCTAGATTCACGTTTATTAAATTGAACTTCAATTGGCTTTCAAACTTTTATTCCAAATTTTGGTTCTATTCTTATCCTATTTACCTACTCCCGTTTTATTTTAAAGTTTATTTTTGTTTACAATCGCATTTTAATAAATTTTAGTAAACAAAGTTTTTTACACTGTTGTTTTGCTGTAACAGTGTAAACTAAGTTTAATGCGAAGTTTAGTGAAGTCATTGAAAAATGAGCTTACCGTTTGTTTGTTGAGTTACTTTTCATAAAACCATATAAACGCGGTAGATGTAAAATAATTGACGACTATTTTGGATTTTACAACAAAAAAAAGTTTGTTAAAATTTTTTTTTTAATATTTTAATTGTAATTAATGTAAATAAAAAGTGGTGAACTTTAATATATGACCATCAAATAACCATTTTTTTTTTCAATTCATGGAACATATTACGCCTTCTTGTCCCCTTTCCAACTTCTTAAAAACCATAAAACTTGGTCAAAATGTCAATAACGGTAAAAAGTGTTTTTTATGCTCTAAAGATGGTACTTTAGATATTCATGTAGAGGATTCATGAAGAAGTATTTATGGAAAAGTACCACTATATCATTGAACCATAAAAAAAAGGGTAAAAAACTTAGTATAAGAAAAAGTACAATTTAAAATGCCAGGATTTATATTATGGAACCTTGTAGTAATTAGGTGGAGCGATTTTAAAAATTTTCTAAATTTGATTTGTCTGAGCTGCGAATCGATGTCTTTTGGTGAAAAAAGAACCTTACTTTTTTTTTTTAATTTAGATGAGTTTTAGAGGTTCCTCTTTGGATTCTAAATTTATGACGGATCCTAATACTGTTGAAATTTTTTTCTTCTGAACTATATTAACCTGGTACTCAAAAGAAGCAGAATAGTATGCTGATTTTAATAATAATATTTGTTTTAATTTAAAAATTAAGAGAAAAAAATAGTCGTTTTTTTTTTTATTAAAAAACCCCCGTCTTCATCAAAACGAGGGTTTAAAGGTATATTTTTGCAAATATTTTTTTTACTAAAAATTTTTTTTAATAAATTATTAATGATAAAACAAGCATTTTTCTGCTTTTTTTGAGTCTAAGGTTGATAGAGTTTAAAAAAAAAAAAAAAATTCAAAAATATTAGGATCCGTCAAGAATTTAGAATCCAAAGAGGAGCCTCAAGATCTCATCTAAATCAAAAAATATTTTTTTACTTTTTTTATTTATCCTATAATTAATAGACATCGATTCGTATCTCAAGAATATTGATTTTTGAACTTTTTTTTTTTTTGCTATGAAAATCGCTTCACCCTATTGTAGTAACCAGGCATATAAAAAACTAGAAATAGCTGTTTAAGTAGAATATTAAATTGAAATTTTTCATTGAAGCGTTTTAATTCCAATTATCTAAGTTAAATCATATATTATTTAGGAAAATAACTGTTTACAAAAAAAACTTATTTCAAAGAAATTTAAAATAAAAAAGAAACACAACAATGTAATTTGTAAACAGGCTTAAATCTATTTATCTATAATCACTTTGGCATCCTAAATTTTATAATACTATAATAAAGTATTTTCTTGAAAAGATATACTTCGCAAATTTTTATCATGTGTAAAATATGTTTTTTACTTTCTCTACAAATACCTACCATTATTTCAACATAAAATATCAATCTAAGTAAGATAAACAGCTACTCGAGACCAAAACAGTATTAAAATGTTCTAAATTTTATGAACATTAGATAATGAACACTAAATTTGTTTATCAGAGCTATCTAAGCTCAAAGATTATTTACAATGAGGAATTTTGTTGCGTTGAGTTTGAGTATCATATAGATATTTGTATTATCAAATATGTATTAAATTACAAAAGTCTTTGTATGTATTTGTAAATTCTACAATTTGTAGAATATCTGAGTTGGTCTCAGAAAAACATGCAGTCAATAAACTTGTGATAGAATGAAACATTGCAAAAGACCATGGAAATCAAAAACTACAGCTAAAAAAATATTTACGGAGAAACTTGATAAGTTACATGATTTGACAAAATGTGAAATCTTATTTTGTAATCAAGTTAGTTGCGATCAATCAAGCAATGTTTGTTGCGACAATCAAGCGATAATTGTTGCAACAATTAATCGATAATTTCTACACACATACACACACACACACACACATATATGTGTGTGTGTGTGTGTATATATATCCTATCCATTATACACCATATAAAGAGTCCCCAAAATATTTCCCTTTAAAAATGTTGGGAACAGCTACATGTAAAAATTGAGTTTTAATTCCAAACATGAATTTTGGTGAAAATGAAACATTTTTAACTTGATTATAAAAGAAAATTAAATTTGAAACTGTTTTTTGAAATTGTCTTTATTAAAGATAATAAACTGATTAAAAAAAAATCAGTACAATTATTTTCTCTCAACACAATCATTAAGATGCAAGTTCCTCCAAGTCTCCTTAAGATCATTTACTACTGCATGTTCAGTTTTGCTGGATTTGAGAAGTAAAGGAGCAAAGTATAAAGTAACAACAAAGTTAGCTTTAGAGACTAAAGTCTTCTAATCATCACTCAGGAAGTTAACAATACGAGACGTAACCCAAGTCGATGCTGTCGCACATAAATCTGGCATTATGGTTAACACCTGGTAAGTAAAAACTAAAATTTTCAAGCTTGGGTGAATTGACATTTATATAGAATGCAAGGTACTTTACTAAGTGGTTATAATCATTTATAGGAAAAACATTATGCTCAAGGGAATATGCAACGAATTTCTTAGACTTGAAATATAAACTGTGAAGATCACTTCCGACAACCAGATCACTTTCAGGAAACTTCTTGAATTTCTTCTTAGCTCCTGCTTTACTAACAATAGGGTAATAAATAATCATCCAAGCGTGTTTTAAACCTTTATACATCTGTTTAGATAGTCCCACAGAACTGATTGTCCCAAAACTCTGACAAAAGTTACAATTGCATCTGATTTCTTTACTATGTTTGAAACTGTTGTGTCAGTACACAGAGAAATGATATTCTCTAAAATTTTGAAATATTCTGCAGATTCTGGAGTACAATAGCCATATCATATGTTGTCTACAGGAACAACTCCAAGAAGTAAATCATTTTTTGACGTAAACTCAGGACTTGTAACTGATACTGCTAATCTATAAATAAGAATTCTTTTCCTCGATTCTTCTTCTATGTGCTTTAAAATTTTTCCATCAAAGTGTAGCATCAGTGACATGTTCTTCATTGTTTCCATATACTCATTACGGATTTTACAACCAAATCAAATTTTTATCTTTAAATTTAATAACTTTATCAATCAGCAATCTAAAACAAATTATTATATTATTATCTAAAAACTAAAATATTAAATCAGTTACCTTAGCAGTTAAAATTTGTTACCTTCAGAATGGATTAGTTTGTATCTGCCTCTTCTGATCAACTCTCTGCTTATTTTTAACTCTCTGATATCCCATTCATAATAATTTACAATGCTAGAGATGAATAGGGTTTGATCTCTTATACTGATACCAGCACTCATACAAGTTGGTATTGTTGCTGCAATCAAATCCTCACTAGCGATCTCCTTGTTTACTGCTAAGACTGTGGGACCATATCTGGATCTTAATTTAGGTCTATCAAGTTTGTCAGCCAAAGCTGGTTCATTGCTACAGTCAGGGTGATAAACTTCTCTATCAGGATACAGCTGGGCAGGATCTATTAAAAAAGTTTTTTAGTATGAAGAAATCAAAAAATTTTATCTCTTGCATGGCATGATATTAAGGATGAGGGGAGAATTGATTTAAACATTTACAATGTTAAATATAAAAATTTAAGTGTGTTGAGTATTAATATAATAAGAACTTAATGGCAGACAGGAGTAGCGGTGGAACCTTATGATTTAGGTTAAATAAAAGGGGGGAGAGAAGTTAGTGGGTATTGTCAATATGATTATAAATAAAATAATATGAATAAAATTTAATAAAAGTGTTTTTAATTACATCAGTATTAATTTACTATTTCACCTTTTACGTAAGCTTTACCAGGAAAGTGCTGTCTGCTGAAATTTGTTAAATAAATTGATTTTTAACCTTATAATACATTTTTAACATTATAATAATAATAAAAAAAATGCTAATTCCTTTAAAAAAATGGATTTTTACTTGTAGCTGTTACAAGCATCCAGCATACTTAAAATTTTGCTTGTGAACTCATACTAGGTAGCAAAACCCATAGAACACCTTTGCTTAATTTTTTTTTTTTGCACTGGGTCACCAATATATATATATATATATATATATATATATATATATATATATATATATATATATATATATATATATATATATATATATATATATACATATACGTATATATATATATATATATATATATATATATATATATATATATATATATATATATATATATATATATTTATATATGTATGTATGTATGTATGTATGTATGTATGTATGTATGTATGTATGTATGTATGTATGTATGTATGTATGTATGTATGTATGTATGTATGTATGTATAATAAGCAGTATAAGAAGGGTTTACACTCTTAATATAATATTTAATATCGATCATATTGTAGAGTTGCTGTGAAGCACCAAGTGAAGTTATTGTGAAGTCCAAATATGCTCTTTGGAACCCTATTCGATCAAGTGATATTTATTGGAACTTTGAAAAATTTTTAATTAACAGTAAAGGATTTCCAATAAAAAGATACTCAGCAAATAGCAATCCATTATCATTTGAGAAAGATATCGATGAACAGATTAAGAGTTGTATACGCACTAGTCACGCTAATATGAATTATTTTTCATCTTTTATTTTATTTAAAACTTTTGTATTTTTTCATGTTTATTTTAACTTTCTTTTTTAATCATTTCAGAAAACATCTTTGATGTGCAGTGAAACGCTTTTGTTAGTAAAACTTGTTTTTTTAAATTATTTTTTGTTTAATGCTGGTAATATTTAGTTGCATATTTTTTTATGTTTAACAAAATGTTTACTTTATGAAAACTTTTAAGAAAGCAGTTGAACTTAAAAGTATGATATGAATGATGTGCTGAGGCATGTGCATGTGTTAAACGCATTTATCATTCTAGTAAACTTTGTTTTGTCATAACTATTTGTTTTATTTATCGTTTGCCCATTTCGAATTCTCATCGGTTTGTTATTCAAGTTATTAAAAAAAATTTAAATCAAATTGCTTGAATGAAAGTTCTAACTAGGAAAGGTCCAACCAGGTTGGAAAGGTCGAACTGGCGAGGGAGGTTGGCGTAGTTTACCCCCCCCCCGGCCCCTGGTATGTCTAAAGGTCCTGGGTCACTCTATAAATCAAGATTCACAAACAAATCACACAAAAATACAAATTAATAATAACTAATTATTGTAAATATACATCAATTTTTATTTTCCTATACCCTTAAAAAAACTTTTACTATAAAAATAAGTTGTAGGATTTTATGTTGATGACTGCAATACTAACTTTTGTCGAGTTTTTATTTGCTATCAGGGGCGATTTTGCGGAAGGAGGAGGGTTGTGGGGATGGGCGTCTTACCCCCTTACCCCCACCCATAAACCCTTTTTTTCCTCCGTCCCTCAAAAGAGTACAGTATACATCAGTTACTAGTAATTAAGGAAAAATGCGTAAGTTAGTACAACTGCTGTTTTTGACGGCATAAATTTGTTGTTTTGACGGCTGTTTTTGAAGGCATATATTTAATACTGAGATTTTACTATACACTACTAAAATCTCAGTAACAATGCCAATAAAAATGCTCGGAATAGATTCTTATAATAAATTTTATGTCTAAATAAAATAAATAAAATCATATGTATAGAGAAAAAAGCGAAAAATAAATCTAATATAGTTCCATTAAACACTAAAAACTTATTTACATTTAAATGATTTCTAATGTTAAAAAATTCAAAATAGTATCTAGTAATTTTTAAAGTTGACCATGGTGATATGTACGTGTAAAAAGGTTTAGCATGGTGATTTGTACGTGTAAAAAAATTTACACGTACAAATCACCATGAGTTTCTTCAAGAATTTAGGACTAGGACCTCTTTTATATCTTATTTATATTACTATTTTTTATAAAGCTTCAAATTTCATAATGATTACTTATGTTTATTGACGGTACAAATTTAATTAGTTTGCGCAAAATCATTCCTACACTAGTTCATAGAGGGAACATTGAATTGATTTAAAAAATATCAAATTGTACCAATTTTTTCATTCTCTATAGAAAATAGTTATATAATAATTTTTTTCTATGCAAATTATTATAAATTGTATAATTTAACAATTTGCACAATTTGCAAAATATAATAATTATAAATTATTATATTATAAATTTATATATATTATTGGAGTTTATGAAATAATAAAAGTGAAATAATAAAAAAGTTTTTAAAGTCATTTTAAAATCATGTTTCTAACAACTATATTGTTCTTAACAACAATTTTATAAGATTAAAAAGATGTAGCGTAGTAATTAAAGCACTTGCTTTAAAATCGAAAGATCTTGGCGTTGTTAGCTTTATAACTTAATGTTCCACTGTAATCTGTTAGACCGTATGAAGTTTTTGGAGCACCTAAATGACCAGATAAAATAAAGTGAAACTATTTTGATTTCAAGCTGGATATCAGTGAAAGAAGTAATATTTAAGCTGAAGAAGTAATTCAATGTCTATTTAAAACCCTTCAAGCAACATTTTTTTGCGTGAAAATAAATTTTTGTAAATAAAGTTTCATGTTTTAAAAATAAAGTTTTTTTTTACAATTTACCAAGTGATACTTCTTATTTTTTCATATTTGCTGTTTTAATATTTCAAATTAAAATAATTCAGAAAAAGAGATAAAGTTCTCCTTGATCAAATCTTTCAAAATATTAAAGAAAGATTTTGTGGTATTCTCTAATCAGCACTCTATTTGGTATTCTATACTCAGCACTCTATATCTAAAGAAAGATTTTGTGGTATTCTCTATTCAGCATTCTACAAACCTTCTAAAAAAAACAGTGTTGTCATTCAATGAAAGTTCTTTAGAAATTATAAAAAACTATTAAAATTTCTAAACCTTCGATAAATGTTCCAAGAAACGAATATTTTTATAAACTTTTGAATTCTTAAAGATATCGTAACAGATGTTGGTAAATGTAAAATTTTGTCCACGTATAACAAATAAATAATATTGCAGTTAGATAAGCCTCTACGTGGATATTATACTGGTATATCTAACTTACCAGGCGTGGGTTTATGCAGAGATGCACCCCGGATGTGTAACCCTGATATAGGCTGTGTAGTAGTGGACAAACCATTTGTTACTAAAACTATTGAATGTTATTGCAAAGCTGATTGAGCTTTTTGGTGGCAATTTGATCACTTTTATTTTTTATCTCTTATTGTTAACCTTTACAAAAAACTTTCTCCTACTTCATTAAGTTCTCAAAAAAATCTCTTCGTCCTCAGTTTTAAAGATCACACTCGTTAAGTTCACTAAATTTATAAACCAAATCATATAAAATTTAAACAATAAATTACTATCACAAAATATAAACAAAAATGAAAATAACACTAATTGCAACTAAAATTACACATTGTAAAAAGCGTTATCAATACTTATTATTTTAATGAGAAGCGGCGCAGTGGCTAGAGTTCTGAGGCAGAACCATGAGAAACGGGTAGAAAAACGGATGAGTAAAAACTGACCTTTTAGACCGTTATATGTTCTTGGAGCACTTTATGAACTATGATATTTGCTATGTTTTTTACAAATTTAATACAATTTATTAAAATTTATAAAAATTAATTAATAAAAATTCATTATATAATTGTATATGAGCTTAAATATTTTGACGTTATCATAGTATTAAGAGTTTACTTTAAAATTATACTTACCCGCTTAACATATTACTCTTTATGTTCTTTTTAAATACCTCTCTCACATTTTGTAAGCATAAAATCAATATCTAAAAGCTGTAGTTTTGTTTTTTCTTTAGGTTAAAATTTCCAAATTTGTATTCGGATAGACAGATTTTGTTTAAACATCTGTATAAATCGTGAAATGCTCATTATTATGTCTCCTACAAAAAAGCAAGCTTAAATTTAATAAAATAACGAATCAATTAATACAGTTATAAAAGGAAATTTATGCCGCGAATTCAACATGATGAAAGGCGCTAAAGTATGCAAAGAACTGGCTTATTCAAACTCCTATAATGTTGTCCAATAAAAATCAAACATTTAAGTTCCATATTTTCTTTATTGACTATTATGAAAGAAGAATCACAGTATGACCACTAATATTGACACTTAGGCGTTTGGTATTATTGTAAGGGAACCTCAATGATTATAAAAACTCATCCCAATGATAATTAGCATGGGTTCAAATGATAGTTTTGCAAAATTGAAAATTCAAGATGTTTATTGCACTCAGTTAAGCTCCAATACTACTCAATAAAACTTCTTAGATTTCATTTTTTATTTATAAGGTACTTGAATACAGGGCTGGCGCAAGTAGGTGTCACGTGGGGGACTGCCACTACAACTTTTGCCGACTTAAAAAAATATATATATTTCTCGATTTTTAAAACTTGCCGACTGCATACCAACTTTTGCTGGCTGACTGTTGTGGCGTTGTTTGTGCCGACTAAAATTTAGTGTTTGTGAGGTGTATGAACCCCCCCCCCCCCATAGCACCTCGCTGGCCTTGCTTGAATAACGTTAAGACGTCAAGTAAATAATTGTGCACAAAGTAGCAAACATGTAAGGATATTATATAAGAAGTATTGTAACCTGGATACAAAACATTATCAATAAATTAATCATAAGTAACACTATTTAGTACTTAGGATAAACCAGCTCTGGATTTTATTAAAAAAGATAATGATTAAAAAGGGCATTTTTGAAAGCAGTATTTCTTTGGTATTATTCTATAGAACAATATCATTTTGACTCCTGAATAAATCCAAAATTTTTGAATTTATATAGGGGTCAAAATAGGTCTTTGACATTGGCTCTCCTCTAACCATTCTCAAAACCAACTAAAATCAACCAACAACCAACTTATTCTAATACAACGCGATCAGTCAAGGCGAACGTGACAGCCATCTGCATTTATTTTGTGATAAGTAACCCTTTCTATGTCATAGAACTTCATTAGAATTTTTTTTAAGATTACTTTTCTCAAATGAAAATTAACTTTATAAATGCACATTCAAACATTCAAAACATAATAAAATAATTTCTATTTAGAAAAACAAAAACTTTAAGTTTGTGAAAGTTATATGTGAAAACATATATAAAAAAATAACTTTTACACGCTAAAAAAGATAACTGCGAAATTGTCTTTTTTAAATAAGGTTTCTGTTGCAAGAAGTTAAATAAACTTTATCAATACAATTAAAATACTTTTTGCTCTAACTTTCTTTGATCCACTCCATTTATATATTTTACTGCATACTACTCGTAACCCAATTGTTCTTAATTCCATGTAAAAATATAATAAAAATGAGTTGTCATGGAATTTGAAGACATATCATTAAAAAGTTAACAGAGTGTTGTTTATAGGTATCTTTAGTATGGTCTGCTACACAAGTAACGCTAATTTTATTCAATCAGAGCTTGTTGTTGTGCTAATCGAATAGTACTGTATTTAATTTATGCTCTTAGTTATACGTAACAAGTTCTTTTTGGATAAACTGTTACTAGTTTCTTTTGTGAACTTGTGATATAAATATCACAATTATCGATGTCTCATTCTTTTGCAATCAACATCGGACTCGAGCAACCTAATTTACTATTTTTTTACAACTCGTCTTTGCGTTTAAAATATCTTGTATCTTAATTATATGTTATAGATAAATTGAAATCCTTTTATAATTCTACTTACGTAAAACTAAACTTGCTAAGCACCAACGTTATGACTTGACTTTGGTAGTAACATCAAAAAGAGTCAAACTTGCCGACTATATGAACGAAAAAGTCGTCATAATGTCGCACCCCTCCACATACACACACACGCACACACTCACACACGCACACACTCACTCACGCACACACTCACACACAATTTTTTTTTTCTCTAGAAATTTAATATCAAGAAGTTCTTCTACTAAAAAATCATCAAGTTGCAGTTCAATGTGTTTGAGCTATGCTACTAACGCGTACAGTTTTTATGTTTTGTGTTTTTAATCTTAATTCTTTAGGTAGCCATATATGGCTACCTAATAAATTGTTGTGTTATACTAACGTTGATTATTTGTCAATCATGCTATTTATAGCAGCTACTGTATATTTTTATTATTATCAATGTTTCTCGTAAGTATAACATTTATAGCAGTTGTTGTATATTTTTATTATCATCAATGTTTCTTTTAAGTGTAACACTAATTATTTTACCACCAGTTGCATGTATTGCTCTACCTTCTTCGTCAACTTTGTCTTTTACTACAGCATATGTATTTGGTCAACTAAATTGGTGTCATTTCTAATCTTTTCCATTACATTAAATATACAGCGAAGAAAGATTTGTTGGGAATTCCTTTGCTAATAATTGAAAGAAAAGTTTGACAAGTTAGACCAATAACTGGAGGTACTTTAAACTAGAGATGAGGCATTCCTTTTAATTCTTTTTTTGAATTTTTAAGTTTAACTTGAATAGGTTCAATCTTAGAAACTTGGCATCTACTTACAGAAATACTTCAAGTTTGAATAGGTATTTTTATTTTATGTCACTAAATAAAAGCATTTTCTCATCTCTTACACTGCTTTTGAAAGATTCTTAAATAGCTTAACTTAGTTAGTTTGGATTTTTAGCGCTGTATTTAAAAACCACTAAATTACTAATTTAAGCTGCATCAATATTTTTAGATTTATTTTGTAGCATTGTATAAATACACATTTCTTCTGCTTTCCTTCATGAGAACAGGTTTGTTTATATAAACTCATTATATCTAGAAAAAAAGAAATTTAAGAACTCAAAGAAAGCACATTCTATGTTTTACATAAAGTTTACAAATTTACCATATTACAAACGCTGTGAGCTAAAATAGAAATATAACAAAATTAATAACATACAAATATAAATGCTGACTACGCTCAAATTTGAGTACACTCTTAGGATACTCGAGAGCGAGACTGTACTTAGTTTTAAGTACACTCTTACGAGTATACAATGTTTCACCTGTTAGTCTAGAGAGGTTGGCAAAATGATCAATAGTTGGTTGCCGCCCTTAGAAACAGTTAGAAACTTTGCATGAATGATACAATTCTAATGATTCTAAAAAGATATGGCCCGAGTCTGTTATTTAGTCAAGCTAAAATTTGGTTCAGTTGGGGTATTTAATCTTTTTTTTTTTGGAACATTTTTACTTCTTACAAGGTTGCTAGCAACCACTATTAGAGTTCGAAGTTACTGGAAAAGAAAAGATAAAGTTTGTAAAGTAAGATGACGATTAGCAGGCGACTTAAAAGATTTCAAATTATATGAATCAGGAAAACAAGGTAAAGGAAGCGAATTCCAAAGAGCTGAGTTCAAAGGAAAATGTTTTTTTGGCACTTAAGAACATTCGCAGTAAAAGGATAAGGCATAATTGAATGATGAGTAACACTAGAATGAATTTTAGTAGATGGGACAAGAGACAGTTACTCTTTAGAGAAGCACCCGTATAGAATAAAGAGAAAAAAAGAAATATTACAATGATGTGACAATGGTTGGAGGTTGGCTACAGGAAAAGGTTCAACTATGTTTACATTTGCATTTTCGCACCTTGTCTATGAGAGAAATGGTATCATTCGAAATTCCGCCCCAGATATGGCAACAGTATTCCATAAATGGACGGATTTGAGATTTATAAAGATAAAGAATAGAATCCTGAGTAAGAAAGTGTCGAGCACGATAAAGAAATGCAACCTTATTAGTTGCTAATTTTACAATTGATTTGATATATAGCTTCCAAGAAAGATCGGAAGTATGAGTTAATCCTAGAAGATAAATGGTAAATGACTCATTAGTACATTACTGTTCATAAATATAGGAAGATCTAGATTGTTTCAACAACGATTAGCTGAAAAAAATTAAGTTTTATCTGAGTTAAAGTTTACCAGGCACTGAGAAGTTCATGCTGTTGCAGAAATGAGATTTTTTTCAATATCAAATGCCCCCACTAAGCAATCAGAGAGAGTTGGCTTCTTATGAGGACAAAAATAAACCGTAGTATCATCAGAGAACAATGCCACCTTAGATGTGAAAATTTCTAGAAGATTGTTAATTATTTATTATTGTTAGCAAATCAGCTGCAGAACGAGAAGATTGAAATCTATATCAATGATCAGAAAGTAAGTTATTAGATTCACGATGAGAGATTAAGTGCTTGTTATTTAAAGACTCAAAAACCTTGCTTATGATAGTAAGAAAACTAATAAGACGGTATTTAGACGAGTCAGATCGCTCTCCAGGGTTTTTGAAAAAAGGAATAACAGATGCCGCATTTCCAACAGGCTGGAAAACAACATTCTGATAAGCAATTGTTAAATAGTTTTGAAAGTATTGACGACAGCTCCGGAGAACACTTCTGCAAGACTATAACAGTTATACTGTCCGGACCACAAGCTGTAGAAGAGTCTAAGCAGTAATGCACTTAGTGATACGAATGTCAACCAATTGATCAACCTAATTGTCGGCTATATCAGGTAGAACGCGATTAGTGGAATCAAAAGATGATATTGATATCTTAGCAAACAATTCAGCTTTGTCTTTAGGTGAGGTGACAAAATCTGAACCATACAAGAGAGGCGGAATAACAGATTTGCCCTTATTATAGATACTGTTAAAAATTCTCCAGAAGTCACGAGATTTCAATTAATTAATAGCATTGAGAGAAGTCGTATTACGTTTATATTAGTATAAAACCAATACAAAGTACTAATAATTGTTATAAATTAAATTATATGTAAATTCTTTTATTAACTTGAAAATTTCTTTACAAAATAAAAAATGTGATTTTCCGTTTTTTCTTTTGATTTTTTTATAACAAAATGAGCCGGTGTGCATCAGAATGGTGTGAGTCAACGTTTCCTCAATTTGAGTTTTTTTAGGTTTTATTAGATTTACTGTAGAAAAAGTCCTACAAACTAAATTTATAAAGTTGCAAGTTTTTCTTACATAAACTTACTAGTCTCAATTTTAATAGAATGATGGCATTAAACTCCCATATAGCGATGATGCATATTTCCCACTAAACTGGATAACTTTGTGGATAATTGTGTTATCTTATAAAAAATAATAAATATTGACTTTTTTTTTTGACTTACACCATGCTGATTCTCACCACCTCAAATAATCTAATAAAAGGACTCTACAAAGAAAAAAGAAATTTCAAGACAACAAGTTACAAATCTTTAATTCAAATAATAAATCAAAATTTATTTTTAAGGGCATTCAATACTTTTTCAAATCATTTGCATATCAATAAAGTTAAAAAAATCTACAAAAGAAATTAAATTAAAAATACATTTATTTTAAAAATTAAAAAATAAATCCTATAAAAAGTTATTATTCTTTTTCTTTTCTTTCATAATAACGTTTAAATTCTGAATTGATTTTTGTCAAGTAGTAAGTTCCAGGAACAAGATCAATATAACTGCAAGTTGGAGAAAAGTTAGGAACATTGCTACTTTTTTCACGAAGCTCTAAAATTTTCACAAATTTTTCAGGTTCAATTTCTAATCTTTGATCCAACAGCACATTTATGCTCTGTAATGAATCTAACATAGTGACCAAACTACTTCTCAAATTTTCACTAGGGCATATTGTCAAAGAAAACATAGATGATGCTAAACCAGATCCATAAGAAAAAAGTAAAACTCTTTTGCCAATTAAATCATTTTCTCCCACATTCATTAACAGGCTAACAAGACTTCCATAAAGCGATGATGTATACATATTTCCTACTAAACTGGCCAACTTTGTGGATAATTGTGTTTTCTTATGAAAAATGTCTAAACTATATGCAACTGAAACTCTTTCTATGTCTTTTAATAAATCGAAGTCTTCTAAGGACTCCTTCAAACTTAAATGTGAATACTTTTCGAACAAAGGATATTTTCCATTAGTTCTATCATTTCCATTTAAAAAGTCTTGCAACATACATCTACCAACTGATTTTTGCACCAGCTTGCAGTATGGAGTATGAAACACCATGAAGTCAATATCAGCTAAACTAAAAAACTCACTAGAAAATTTTTTCATGAACTTATTTCTATATTGAGAATAGCAAGCATCAAGTGCAGATATGTAACTGCTTACAGATAGCTTACCATTGATAACTGGATACTCAGATGAAAGGTTAGGTTTATAAAAGTCATAGACATGAGCCATATGTGTAGCTCTTAAACCACGATCAAAAACAAGAGGTGCGTTAGGACCAACAACCAATGCAATAGCGCCTCCACCTCCAGTACACCGAGCATTTCCTGCAGCATAAACTGCAATATCAGCAGTAACTACAATCGCTAATCTGCCATCCCAATAACTACTTTCTATCCAATTAATTGCATTAAAGAGTGCTGATGTCCCTCCATAGCATGCATTTTTTGTATCAACACCTTCAATATCTGTGTTTCCATAACTTTCAAACAACTGCATTAAGACAGTTTTCACTGATTTTGACTTATCAATTATAGTTTCTGTTCCAACCTCTAACCGACCAATTGCCTTTGGATCAATTTTATGATTTTCAAGAAGATTGTGAACAACTGTTAAACATAAGGAATTGATATCTTCTAAGTCACCAAAAAATCCCATGTTCTTTTGTCCAAGACCAATTGTATATTTACCTGTACTCACTCCATCGAAAATCTCTAGTTTTTCTTGACTAACAAAATACTTTGGAATGTAAACTTCTATGTAGCAGATGCCAACATTATTAGGCCAATTACTCATCTCTCTGTAATGAAATCTTAATCTAAAAATAATATATAAAAACATTTTTATATTTTACATTAACAACAAATCTTCTTTCTTTTCTGATATTTTGCACCACACAAATTTATAAAAATTTCTAATCATTTTTAACAGCTTCCTTAATTAGATTTTCAAACAACATACTTTGTTAAATATATAAATTTACAAAAAAAAAAAAAATCCAAAATATCTAGGGAGGGAGGGGGGGAAGCGATCGCCCCATCTATAGATGCACCCTTGTGTGTGTGTATATATACACTTACTAAGCATTTGCCTGACACCGATTTTTCACTCCGTGACGCTCTTAAATGTGCAATAACTTGTAAATAGAAAGTAAAAAATAAATAAAAATTATCCGAAAAGACATATTTTTTTACTAAAATAATATAAATTTTAAATATCTTTTATACACATAGATATTATAAAATTGTATTTCCTTGATAAAAGCAAAACATCGAATGGAATTTTCCTTGATAAAAACAAAACATCGCATGGAATTGCTCATATATATATATAATATATATATATATATATATATATATATATATATATATATATATATATATATACATATAAATATATACAAACACAGTAGCGTGTTAAAGTTTAGAAATACTATCTTTTTTTTTTAGTATTTAACACATAATTTCTACAAACTTACACAAGCTGAATTTTTTACAAAGTTTGCTTTATATTACTTCAATTAATACAAACCACAAAGATTGTAAAACCTAACAGTAAATTAAAATTCAATTATTTTTTTGAAAAGACTTCCATGCCAAAATTTAGAAATAATTGAATTTTGATTAATATTTATTTTAAAAAAGCTAAAATTTTAATAAAACTTACAAAATTACATTTTTTTAATAAAATAGTTTTAATAAAACAATTAGTGTTTTGTGTCATATTTATTTGCCTTTAAAACAGCATCACAGCAACAAGACATTGAATCAACTAAATTAATCAGAGCATACTCAGAAATGGTATACCGAAAATCTTTGATCAAAGAAAATAAATGCTCCTTGTTGGTTGATTTACTACTAACTAGTTGGCGGTCGATGTACTACCAAATATGTTCAATAGGATTGACCTACGAGCTCTTTGAAGGCCATTCAAGAAATTTGATTTTTTGTTATTTAAAATATTCCTTAATAGATCTAGCAAAATGTTTTAAATCATTACTTAGCCTTAAATTTTACAAATATTTTGCCATTAGTTACTTACTTCACTGCTTTTGAAAATATCATCAAATAAGAAAAATTATTAAATTTCACAAATATTTTGGCATTTAATTTTGCTTTTGTTTACAAAAACATTATTTAATTGTGGGGGATGATACTGTTACTAAACATTTGCATGAAAACATTTCCAAATACCAAATAAATTTTAATTAACCATTAATTTTTATGATTTTTGTGGTTTGTATTTTGAATTAAAATAATATATTCTAAAGCATATTCGGTAAAAACGTATTTCAATAAGTTTGTATATGTGCTAAAAATTGAAAAGGAAAAGTTGACATTACTAAACTTGTGCACACTAATGAATATTACTGAATGTTATTATACATTATAACATAACAGTATAAGCAATTTAAAGTTTCAAAGTGCTCTTTTGCAAAACAGGTATACGCACACATGTTACACTATTATTACACAAACATTACAATCAACACTTTATTAAAAGTATCTGCAGTATCGAATTTAAGGAATACTATATCTAATACATTAATGTATTATACATTAATGTATTAGATATAAAAACCAATAAATACAGTACTGTAATTTACATTATGATACTTTAAGAAATAATTTACATATGTAAATTACATTATGCAGATATTTGTAATATATTCAATAATGATTATTGAATATATTACATTTATACATAAGTTAAATTACATATGTAAATTACATTATGTATTTATGTAACTTGGCACTATATACAGGGTGTCTGCCAAAATTTCAAGGTGGATTTACCTAATTTTTCCCAGACATTTACCTGAACTACTACCTGTTTTTCCTGATTTAATTTAAAGTTACCAAAATAAAACTTCAGAAAAATTAGACGTAGATTTTTTTGGAAAAATGCTCTTCAATTGCAAAAATACAAACATTAGTTCAACTTACATACTAGGTATCAAGTGAAGTTCATAAATCTAATGAATAAATTTTATATTATATGTGTACGATATGCAACTTACTCAAGTTATGTAATTTACTTACTCAAGTTATGTAAGTTTGATGAAATTTTACTGATTTCTTCCTGATTTTTCAAATTTTAATCTAATTTCCTAATTTCCTAAAAACCTAATTAACCAAATTTTAACCTAATTTCACAACTTGAGGCACAAAGAATTTTTGCGCGTCCAGTTGTGGCCCATATACAGGGTGTCTGCCATATCAGGAAAAACAATGAAAAGTCAGGCCAATTAGGTTAAAATTTTGAAAAATCAGGAAGAAATCAGTGAAATTTCATCAAACCTACTTAACTTGAGTAAGTTGTATTATGTACATATACAATATAAAATTTATTCGTCATATTTATGAACTTCTCTTGATACCTAATATGTGAGTTATACTAATGTCTTTGAAAGACGTTTATTATTTAATACGAAACAGGTGATTTAAATACGTGAAAAATAAAAAAACAAATAACTAAACAATAATTCAAAAGTGGATTGAACTTGAATTTAAAAAAAATTTTAATATAAAAATTAAAAAATAAAAAGTAATGCAGAAACTTTTTTATCTTATTCGTTACAAATGTGTAAATAAAAAATTGGTGCATTGCACGAGGTTTTGATACATTTAAAAAGCAGATACATTTAAAAAAATTTGCGCATTGCAAAAATATTTTTGGAAAAAATTATTTAAATAATTTATTTTTATTTATGTATTTTTTAACAAAGGTAAATAAAAATTTCGTTCACGATAAACAAAAATCTTGAATTTATTTTTTATTTTTTTTTAATTTTTGTCAAACATAATCTTTTAAACATAATCATAGCAATTTTTCTTTCAAAAATGTCCTTGAATTGTTCTTTCAAGAATGTTCTTGAATTCCTGATTGAATTAAAGTTAAGATTACTGCCAAAAATCGAGAAAAACTCCGCCGGAGTCGAGAAAATATCGGAGTTTTGATTATAAAAGAGAAAATTAAACTACCAAATTGATAATTAAACATTTTTCTTTAATTTATTCTTATAATATTATATACTTCAATTTATAAATTTAAAAAAATTGATATTTTTTTATTTCTTAGTTCTTAAATATTTTTTTTATCACAATTCTTTCAGGAACAGGTTTAATCTAATAATTGGCTCGAATTCTGTGGACGGCTAGTTCAAATTTCATATTCTTTTAACTGATTGGTGAAGTTCTGGCTTTTTAGCTGTTGACTGATTTTGATTTAGAGCTTCTTGAATTTTGGATGCTTATTGTGTTGGTTCTCCTTATTTGCCTTAGCGTGATTTTCTAATTGAACCTGTCATTTCAAAAAGGGCACAAGTCCATTTATTAAAACTTTTCAAAATCAACAAAAACATGATTTTTATTAAATTAATGTCTGGTAAAGAAACTAAACATAGAAGTAGATAAATAAAGAATGTATATAACTTATGTAACTTTTATATTTTATAAAAAAAAAACAAATCATACAGAAATTTTTAATTTAAATTTATAAACTAACTGTTAAAAGTTTTGGACTTGTGTCCTTTTCGAAATGACAGGTTCAATTTTGGTTGGAGACAATTTTGTTTCGTTACAAATATTTGATCAAATAATTTTGTATAATATCTTTTTTTGAAGCGTGAAAAAATGTGTGGTTTTTATTTTAAAAAAATTGAATACCAATATGTTTTTACGATTTCGTGTCTAGAGTTTAACGCATTTGGAAATTTAAAACTGATGCCAATTTTGACAATCTTTAATTTGCTAGTTAAGAAATACTAGATTTTCCAAAATTAGCCTGAAAAAATGGTTGACGAATTAAATTATCATTTCTTAAATTGTATTTATTTTTATATTTCAGCGTGTATAAATTATGGAAAGAAACTGGGGAAGAGTTAGTTTTACTTTTATACATAAAACATACATAATCCCTAACGATCTAATTGTAAATTAATTAATTTTTCTTTGAATATATTATAATAAAAAAAAAATTAAAAAAATTAAAAAAATCCAAGCGCCTTTGGAATCTCAGTTGAACATTTTAAGGAATACAAGCTGTGATTAAAAATTAGGTTATTTAAATCCTTTACGAACCTGTTAACAAATTAGTAAAAAATAACCCACAGCACAGGACGTAAGAGAACTCCGCTGCGTTTATCCCTACGTATGTCAATTATAATATCATATGAAGACCACACGGGAAAAAACGGCTGTCAGACTTTTTTTAGTTTAGAGATATACTAATTATAGTATATACTAATTAGAGATATACTAATTAAAGATATATAAATTTAAAAGTTTAAAACTATATATAATAGTAACTATAAGATGTGTCAGTTTCATTAGTTTTTGTCATTAGAGAGTGTTTAACATACAATCTATTATACAAAAATATTGCTTTGACCTTTTATATTAAGTTGGTTATTTGGTAAAAACTTAATATAAAAGGTCTTTTTCTTTATTTTTCATTTCGCAATATTAAAAGATTTGATTTTTAACATTGGATTGTGTGGTCGTTGCAAGTCAAAAGATATTGAACCTTGATAAAAAAACAAAAGGATTTTCAGAATAATTTTGTATCAAATGTGTATCTTTTGATTGGACTTACTTGTTCAATTCATCACAAGCATAATAGAGATTCCAGAGGAGTCAAATCTCAAGAAATTAACATCAGAACTGTTATGGCATTTAGAGATATGGGACAAAGTCACGAGGCAATAAAAACATTTGTTTCAATTTTGAATATGCCCCCACCAATGACTCTCAAGACATATAATGAAATAAACTCCAACATCCTACCGTTTTATGAAGCTGCTTCTTGTAATAGTATAAAGGATGCTGTGAAAGAG